TTTTTTTAGAAAAAAAAAATTTTTTTCTGTATAAACCGTCTCAAAAACAGTAAAAAAAACTTGAATCACTTTAGTTACTTCGTAGTTTAAATTAGATATGAACATTATTTTATATCATAGGGAAACTTTTTGAGTTTAATCTATAATTTTTATTTTTTAAAACTATTAATTGTGAAAAATAATAAGAGCTTTAAGACATAAAAATTTTAAATTGTAAAATATATTTGTCGTTTCAATTTTTTTACAATAATGTTAGTTTGAAAAATTTACTTTATTTTTAAAGTTTGGGTCGAGGCTTGACTTTGGCTCGAGGCTCACGTTAGGCTCAAGGCGTGAGTTTGGCTCGAGGCTCATGTATGGCTCAAGGCTTAAGTTTAGCTCAAGGCTCATGTATGGCTCAAGGCTTGAGTTTGGCTCGAGGGTGGCTTTGTCTCGAGGCTCACGTTAGGCTCAAGGCTTCAGTTTGGCTCGAGGCTCATGTATGGCTCAAGGCTTAAGTTTGGCTCAAGGCTCATGTTTGGCTCAAGGCTTGAGTTTGGCTCGAGGCTCATGTATGGCTCAAGGCTTAAGTTTGGCTCGAGGCTTGGCTTTGGCTCGAGGCTCACGTTAGGCTCAAGGCTTAAGTTTGGCTCGAGGCTTGACTTTGGCAAAACTTAAGCCTTGAGCCATATATGAGCCTCGAGCCAAACTCAAGCCTTGAGCCAAAGCCAAGTTTCGAGCCAAAGCCAAGCCTCAAGCCAAACTTAAGTCTTGAGGCATACATGAGCCTCGAGCCAAATTCAAGCCTTGAGCCTAACGTCAGCCTCGAGCCAAAGCCAAGCCTCGAGCCAAACTTAAGCCTTGAGCCATATATGAGCCTCGAGCCAAACTCAAGCCTTGAGCCATATATGAGCCACGAGCCAAAGTCAAGCCTCGAGCCAAACTCAAGCCTTGAGCCTAACGTGAGCCTCGAGCCAAAGCCAAGCCTCGAGCCAAACTTAAGCCTTGAGCTATACATGAGCCTCGAGTCAAACTCAAGCCTTGAGCCAAAGCCAAGCCTCGAGCCATACATGAGCCTCGAGCCAAACCTGAGCCTTGAGCCAAACATAAGCCTCGAGCCAAAGCCAAGCCTCGAGCCAAACTCAAGCCTTAAGCCAAGCCATGAGCCTAAAACTTAGTTTTTTTGTCACTTTTTAAGCTTTCAACATGGTGTAGCTCAGAAGGACTTGATTCTTGGAGGTTTTGACCTTAATATTTTTTGTTCAGGAGGTGATAATCTACAAAACTGCAAAGTTTAAAAAAATTTGACCGAAAATTTTTTTCCCCTATAGCGTGTGCGGGGTCCTTATAGGAAATTTTTTTTGAATTTTTCAACATTTTTTTCATAAAAAAATTTTTTAAGAACATTTTTGCATACGCATTATTTATATGAAAAAAATCACGTTTTATTTAGATCTTTATTAAATTTTTAGAATTGCCCAAAAATTCCCGGTTTTTTGGTAATTTTCCGGTCATTTCCCTGTTTTCCCAGTCCATTTTGAAAATCCCGGCCAACTCAGGAAATAGGTAGAGAAAAAATACGTTAAAAAAAACAAAAAGAATATTAAAATCATAATTTATTATTTAAAAGCCAATTTTAGATCTTTTTTTAATAATAATAATTACTATTTCCACTTTTTTTAAAAAAATACTTAAAAATTGTTAATTTTTCAAAAAGATAGTAAAATTACCTTTCCAATAATCGTATTCTGAGCAATCTCCTATTATTCAATCGATTTTTATGGCGATTTTAGTGAAAAAAATTGAAATTAATTAAAAAATATCTATTTTGAAAATTTCGGGGGCTCGAAATTCGCTTTAGACCTATGGTTCTTTGAGAAAATTTGCTCAGAATAATCTATAGATTATGTTTTTGCTATACGCTTCATCGAAAAATTTTCGACCATACAAATTGACCCGCCCTAGTGTGTATGTATCAAGAAGTCTAGAGACAGGAGAGTAAATTTGTCCCTTTTTTCATAGAGAGCATTCAGTCTACAGTGATATGTATATGAAGGAAATAATTGATTGCGTCAAGTACGTTTTTTGATTCTGCGCATCTTACACACACATTTACGAAGAAAATGTGTATATTCAAATTAATTTGTATTGAGCATATTGTAATCCGCGTAAATGGACAGCTGCTCAGCTGTTGCTCAGGAGGCAAATAGTAAAAAGATTATATTTATCGTAAACAAGGAAAATAATTAACTTAATTTTTTAAGTACCTTTTACAAGAACGTGTGAAAAATGAAATGTGAAAATATATGAAACATAAAATATTTGTTAGAAAAATATACAATTGCTTTACATTAAACCGGTGTTTTTTTAGGTTATGTCCAACAGCATTTAACCTTTCTATTTTAGACTCCTACAACAAAATAATGTTAATAATAAATAAAAGAAATGTGAATTAAAAATTTTAATAATATTACATTTTAACATTCTTAGGGTTTCGTGGCCCAGGCCCGAAAGCCATATAGCGAGACTCAGGCGTCCGTCCGTAGTTCTTATGTCTTAAGTCTTAAGTGTAAGATATAAGATTTAATTTAAGCCTATATAGAAGTCACTATCACGTCAGGTTAAGGAGAAAAAAAATACTGAAAACCCTCAAAAACACGGGTTTTGGAGACTTTACCCCAACTTTACTCAAAATCCTGACGTGATACGCAATTTTGTAACCCGGGATCGTGTTCAGGACACAAAAATAAATTAGAAACCACTCTGATATCTCAAAAAAATACCTTGTAAACTTGTTGTGTTGGTGAGACAGACAAACAGAGAGCGCTTATCGAAGACTGGATTCAGTGCAATGATTGTCACCTTTGGCTTCATGAAAATTACACTGAATTTAATTATAAATGTTCGAAACGTGAACAGAAGAAGAAAAGAAGACATTAATCACTTTAAATTAAGAATTCTGATAAAGCGAGAAGCCAAAAAATGATTTTAAAGTATTGGCCATCTCTCCCGTACGCCTATGGCCATCTCCCCCGTACATTCCGGAAGAGATGGCCAAACGTGTTTTTTGAAAAATGTTAATTTTAAGATTGTTTACATTTAAAAAATGAATCATTTCTATTATTATTTGTAAGTTAAATGTTCGATGTTTAATTAGCAATAAAAGTTAATATATAAATCACTTTCTTCTTATTTTTACAGGCCTTTAAAAAAACTATGGCCAACTCCCCCGGACGTACTTATGACTTATGTTTAAGTCTTAAGCATAAGTATTGATTCTTATGCTTAAGTCTGCTTAAGCAAAAGACTTAAGACTAAATTTTTTTTAAAATGATTGTAAATATTGAAAATGACCCATTCGAAGTCACAAAACCTTATGATGTTGCTTCTGGTACTGATTTTTTAATAATTATTATTCTTAGATATTGCTATAATTAAAATATAAATAATATGAGCTAATACATGTACAATATGACATATCTCGTCCTTTGGAAAGGGAAATAAAGTTCGATGATTTTCTTTAACTTCATCATTATCGTAACAATTTGCTACACAACACTTTCCACTCATTATCGATAAAATTTAAGTTAACTTAATATTAAAAATTCACCTATTGTTTAAACTACCAGTCTTTCAGACAGCCATTAAAAAAACAAATCACATGTGATATTTATGCGCAGAACCAAAAAATAAATACTTGACGCCTTCACTGCAAAAAGAAGTATCTTATTATAAGATACATTGGAAGCAAGTTACCAAAAGTATCTTCCTATCCATCTTATATCTTAAGAAACTAATGCATTTTAAGTTGTTTTAGATAAATTAGAAGCAAGTTATAAAAAACATTTTCAAAAGGCGACCAAAACATCTTAAAATAAGATACTTCTTTTTGCAGTGTTCTAGGTACGCCCTCATATAATACCATATTTGTCTTACCCCCACTACTCTACTTTACTTTCCTGTCTCTAGTCTTCTTGGTATATATGTATGTCCATAATATTTTGTTCCAACATCACGTAAGATTGGTTTTGACCGATTGAAGTGAAACTTGGCAGTCTCTTAGGTATTAGCATAACTTAAAATCTTTACCATACCCGATTAAATGAATACTTTCTCATTTATGATGAGAATGTAAAAATATTGATTCGTATGGAAGATATGCTACTTTTTTAAAAATTCAAAAAATCAAAAATTTTCAAATTATTCATTTCTTAATAGATTGTTTCTAAACTTTCAATACTTGGGTATTAAATGTTATTTAGTCACATTTTAGCATAATTTTATAAAAATTACAAGGTATTCATATACATACCACTGTAGACTCAATGCTCTCTATGAAAAAACGGACAAGTTTACTCTCCTGTCTCTAGTCTTCTTGGAATAAACATTCCACAAATGAGGGCCTTCATTTTGGCCGAAACGTATGGAAGTTAAAATTTTACTAAAGGAGTAATTTCTTTCAATCCTGACTCTAAAGCCAAAAATACCTACATCAAATCATTAACAATCATTGTTAGTTTCGCAATTACTTGTTTTTCATAATAAGTTTTATTTTATTTAAACTTTATAATAAGAGTTAATGTGATTAATAGAAAGTATTCTTTATTTAAAAAATACCAATGTATGATGTCAATAGTTTTTATATTATGTTATGTACTATGTTATGTTACATAATATTATTTACCAATATCTCGTGCTCACAAAAAACCTCACCGATTCAGACACACTAATGGAAGTTGCCAAAACATAAACTTCCAACAAAATAATGTTTATTTCCAAATAAATTAGTTTGGTTTCATATATCATTCATATACCATTTAATCCGAACGAGGTCATTGATATATTTTTTTGTAAAACTAAACGTTAAAGACTTGTCATCAATGATCAATGAAAATGTATGACCTTCGAGAAAGTTTTGAAAATATTTAATCGAGTTATGAATCGCGGTAAGCTCACGATCATAATTGCTTCAACATTTTGCTGTGTAGCAGGTTTTAACCTAAATTTTAAATTCAACTTACGTATTATGAGACGATGCAATCCAATAATGCGATAGAGGCTTTGTCATGTCTTGAAATACACTATCATACGTATTATCCCAAATATCATTTTGTTTTGAAAATAGAAAACTGATGAATTCTGAGATGGTAAAATATGGCTCTTGTACATCTCGTTGTGGATCTTGTAAGTAATCTCGAATAAATTTTGACACATCTTGTTTCTTCTTTCCCAAAGGGTTGTCTTGTTCTATGGCAAGAAAATTTTTAAATTCTTCTAAGGACACAATTTTCTCTTTTTTCAGGTTGCTTAATATATGATTCCATTCCGTAACATTCTAAAATAAATTTTTTTTTTAATTTTTCTACTAAACATAACTATTATTATGGTTATATGCTGTAGCAAGATAAGCTACATTTAGAAAAAAATGCTAAAATAGTTTTTGCTATTGAATTTTCCGTTATTGATTCAAAAACTATTTTATTGTTTTAAAGCCTTATTACCTGAAAGAAAAAAACAAATATTTTCTAATTAACAGTATAGTGCTGTACAATTACTGTTATAGTGTAAATTGATTTTATAGTAAATCTAAGATAATTCATTGATTCTTTGACACTTTACAATAGAAAGACATGATTGACAAATTTGAAGAAAATGTATGTAAATTGTAAATTTGAATCAAATAAAAAAATTTTTCCTTTAAAAGAAAAAATTTAATGGATAAATAGCATATATGCTTTTATTTTAATGAACAGCGTATTTATTATCAACGGATTTCACGAAGGCTATGTTTGAACTGACACCAGCACTGCTATAACAAATTTGGGGGCCTATTATGACTGAATTTAGCTTGAAAATGCTCTACTGCAGCTAACTGTAAGACGAAAAATCCTGATTAACAACTTCCACTTTTTGGGCTAATGTCCGGGTTTTTTCGATTTGGTCCCACTGTGGGCCGGTTACGTGAAACGACTCGTATTTATTCGCGTATACCTTCAATATTCTAATATTCTTGATTCAAAACATTTAACATGAGCAATATTAAAAAACGCTTTTCTTTATTTAAAAGTTTCTAAGACAAATATATCCATTTTTGAAAAATGAATTTAAATTTCAGTTGTGAGAACAATAATTTTTAATATTGTCCTTTTTACAAAAAGTATTACCTTTTTCAATGTCTTGTTAAAATGTGAAATCTACATTACAACAATAAGAAACTTTAGTTTAAAAAAACATATAGCTAATAAATAGTTAATAAGAATTGCGTATTAGTGTGTGAAGAAAGTAAGCTATCTTATAAAATATTACTTACTTGTTCACTGAAGATAAGTTTGTGGTAAAGACTAACGAAATCATCAAACCCCAATTCAGACCTCTTTTTAATATCCACTTCTTGAAAAAGCTCCCTTAACTTATTAGTTGCAATTTTACAATGAACTTTTGGCAAAAATGCTTTTAAATCTTTTAGTGTTACCCTGAAAATATATCATTTTTTAAATTAATTAAACAGAATAAAACAATCTATATATGTATGACTAGGGTTCACAGAGGGCCAGAAGTTCCTATTTTGTGGCCAAAAGTCAATTACCGAAATATAAAATATGAAAGTATTTTTCTTTTAGTAGACATTTCAAAGTATATAAAATTTAAGTATAAAATTATTCATCATTTTAGATTATATTTAGATGCTCAAAAGTTAGAAAATTGAATATAGTAATTGACAGTTTAGTGCAATAAGTCATTTTTTTCTCAATAACACAGATCCATAAGGTTTTTTTTAGATATCAGGTTTCTAATGTATTTTTGTGTGCTGAGCACGATCCCGGGTTCCAACATGGCGTATCACGTCAGTATTTTGAGTAAAGTAGGGGAAATTAAGCCAAAAATCGTGTTTTTGAGGGGTTTCAGTATTTTTTTCTCCTCAAGGAGTTAGGTGGGTTTCATCTTTTAATTTATTTTTCGGCTTAAAAAGTAGATTAATATGTCCAGAATATTGTCCCAAAATTCCAAATCCATTGGAGTAATTTTTTAAGACATAGAGCCTTCTAAATTTCCCCCCACGTCAGCCTGTCGCGACTCAGGTAAACTGGACACAGCTTCTTAGCTATTGTTTTTCTGTCCCTCTTGCTTGTTCACACTCTTCGTCACGATTTCTCGAAAAGTTACAAACCGCTCTTGTTCATATTTGGCACACATCTTCAAAATAACATTATTTCGTGTTTAAATGAAGGATTTTGTTCAATTACAACTAATATTACATGCCAAAACGTGGTGAAAATTCCACTAAAAATTACATTTTTTTCAAAACTCAGCCAAAAATTCAAATTTTAAATTTTTTCTTTTTCCTTCGTTCAAGCACGAGCCATAGGCATCTACTAACTGAAAATATTTGGTTTTTTAATTTCTGATGAATCTGTCATGACTTATGCTAACTAGGCCAAAACAACTTTTTTTGAAGGCTCATAGAAAACGAGATTCCAATGGCTGAACTTTTAATATTCCTAATAGTCCTTTTGATATGTAAATTTTTTAAATAAAATATTTCATTTCATCTATTAGAAAAAAATTCCTAAAAATATTCTTTTTTTAGGGCTTTGAAACCCACCTAACCCCTAAACCTGACGTGCTAGAGACTTCTGTATAGGCTTGAATTAAAGCTTAAATCGTTCATTTTAAGAACCATATGCACAAGATAAAAAATTTTGAAATTAAAAAAAATGGAGTTAAACACACTAAAAAATTTATTGTTGACTTTAACCCCATTTTTAAATATTTTTTTTTTTATATCGCGCATATGGGTCTTAAAGTGTTCTATTTAAGTTTTAATTTAGGCCTGTAGCACATCTGTAGCATGTCGTATTAAGGAGAAAAAAATACTGAAAAACCTCAAAAACACGGATTTTGGGGTCCTTACCCCTCACTTTACTCAAAATCCTGATGTGTTACGCAACATTGGAAACTACTCCAATATCTAAAAAGTCTTATTTTGTAGACCTGTGTAACGAAGTAAAATTAATTTTTACGAGATTATTCTTGTATAAATATGTGTGAAATTTTAGTAAAATAATTGAATTACATAATAATAATCTGCTTGGTCTGTCCATCAATCCTACATGAAAAAAATTACGTGAAATTTATCTTAAAAATACTTCAATTTTATGCTAAATTTTGTTATTAGATAAACAGATAGATAAAAAACATACGTTACGTAAATTATGTAAAATAGGTAAGGATTCTTTAAAATTTCAAAATCGGGTGGGATCCACAGTAGCGAGTTAAGCGACACGATGTAGGCCGCGTAAGTTTCTGCTCATTTGCATTTTTACATTCTCATCATAATGAGAAGGTATTACATTTGAGCGATTTTGAGCCTTCTCTACACACTGAAAAAGTCTTGGGCGTTTAGAATTCCCAACGCATGTATGAGAAGCACCAAATAAAGAGATTCTGCACAACTTCATTGTGGGGCTAACTGTTTCCCATCTTGGATGCTCTGAGTGCCCAAGTCTGATGCTGCAGCATCACCAAATCTTGGTAACAATAACGTGGAACATCTGCTCGCCCAACATTTAGCATAGAGGTTGCTCAAAATCATGCTCCAGACACTCCAAAGCAAAGAGCTACTGCATTTCCACTGTTGGAACTGCTGATCGCTTAAGACTTTTTCAGTGCACTGAGGAAACTGTTTGGTATCATCTACTGAAGTTTGGTTCTCCAAACCAAATTTTTTATTTGATATATGTGCAACTAATCCGTTTGGTTCGGGCTACTAAATTTTTTCGTTGAATCATTTTGTTCGGTCTACCAAATTTTTTGTTTTGCACAACTAACTTATTGTTTTTAAGCAAACAAAAAATTTAGTTAAATGAAAAAATTTTTTCTTTTCTCAACCAAATTATTTTTTGGCTCACACTTATATTTTTTATTTTTCACTTAATTTTATCACTTTTGTTATACTCTTTTATTCTTTTCGCTTTATATTACCTACCACCCTATGTCTACTTAAATTAATTTCTATTGCGGAAAAACCTAACACTGCTGGGGATCGAACCCTCAGACTACGCAACGCAAATCAAGAACGCTGACCACTACACTAAGAATCTTAGTGACAATGTGAGTGTAAATTATTTTCATAAAGTATACAGGCTGGAGAAAAACTTCCGTTTTTTTAACAAGCTTTATTCTCTCTGTTCGATATGCATCACTACACACACTTTTTTACCGAATTTCTGAAACATATAAAAAAAAAATATAAAAAACATATTAAAATATTTTTAATAATAATGGACAAAAACTAAATTTTTTCCATTCTCAATTTCATTGACATTTAAAACTTAAATCGTCCTATCTTGAACAAATTTTCATGAAATCAATTAAAAATTGACATACTTACGTATCAAGGTCTACCAAAGACGATAAAATGGTTAAAACATTAAAAAAAAATTATTGCAAAATTATTTGTTAATGTAAATAGAGAACTGTCAGTAAATACGTTTACTCAACTTTGACAAGAAAAAGTATGCGGGGAACTTTCGAGTTGACAAAACTTCCAGTGAGACATTTGTTTATTAATATGTGAAGAAGTTTTTCGGAAAGTTTTGTTTAAATCGGATTAAAAATAAAAAAGTTACATAATGTTTAAGAAAATCACGGTGGGTTTTAAGCGATTATTATGAAAAGTCAAAATAACCAAGATTTTTCTTTTGGGATGTTTTCTACAACAAAAAAGAAGATGTTTGCAACAAAAATGAAAATCATCCATCGGTCCCTTTTTGAGAAAATTGATTTTTTCTACAAAATCGCATGATTCCTCGCTTTTGAATAGTATGAATTTTTTGTTTTCCTTTTCTTTTTATTTATTTTTCAAGTTGCTATATAGAAGACGAATAAACGAATTGCTACTGGATGTAAACATCCTGGCAATATGAAATGACACCGTGTCAATGCCGATGGAGGAGGTTATTAACGAACTTGAAAATAATGGTGCAAATACAAAACGGTCGGCTCAAATATTAAGGGAGCGGTTGTTACGTTTGCGAGCTCGTATGGTGTTTGGAGAATTAATGTCCGTCCCATGGTATGGAAGATATGACAACGCGAATTCGAAAAAGGTTTTATCGGTAGAGGTTCTCAACCAACCATTAGAGGATGTGGGAGGACAATGGCAGGATTCATCTCAAGTCGACGAACAGTTGGAGGGAAATGCATCGGCATTAGCCTCTGAGTCAAGTGACGTGATATTAGAGAACCCGATCAACCAGGGCGAAAACGGGGCGGCAAGTGGGGAAGGTAGGGATGACATCATGGTGTCAATGGCCGAGGAAGGATTGTCGACTCACATGCCGAGGAACACAATCCCAACCATGTCACGGTCAACGCCCACGATGACTACTAAGGTCACACAGTCCTTGCCAACCAGTGGCATCACAACGCCGAGTTCTGTGTCGAGTTCGTGAAGTTTGGATCTGGGAACAATTAATTGGCCGTTTTATAACTATAATCCGAGTGGGCAGAGTGGTAACATGGGCCAGGGTGCCAATACACGATGTTTACAGTGTCCTGGCCATAACGAGGCGACCCAAAGATGGACATCGGGTACAACAACATATGTTGTAACGACCTCAGCAACACTACCTAGTGTTTTAAATGTAATTAACCCTCCGTTCGTTACCAAAACTGGTATCCAGCCAGGAGCCTGGAGCAGCGGAATATTACCTAGTGTAACTAACACGGGAGTGATTCCAAAAGTGTCAAACACTAATTACACAAGGAATTTAGGTAATACTGGTTAGCGCCCAGATATGCCTCGACCAGGCGTGCAACAGAAGACAGTGTTGAACCCGCCAGAGAAAGAAGAGTAGGAACTACTACTACTATTTACCAAGTAAATTGGTAATTGTGCACAATCACCAACAGAAATTGGAAAATGTACGAAATGTCTAAATTGAATCAAAGATTTCTCACTCGTACCAACTACCTTGGTAAATGTAGATAGTTACCACAAAAAGGGGAAAATGGAAGTGCCGGACATATCGAATTAAATTCCGTAGAAAGAATAGGTTTCACAACTAATCCTTTTCTTTTGGTCGTCGATTTTTTTTGGCACGGTTCACACAGACTCAAGTACAGCATTACCATCTCTACTGTAACATTTACGTATTTTGCGTTCACCTCTGTCGTTGTCTTCTTTCGTCCACCATGGCCAACATTTACATGGGCATTATGGATCACGTCAAAAATATTTTCGTTTGATACAAAATATTTCACTTCCTCATTATTGCCTTTAAGAGGCAAAATTAATTTCTGCTCATTCCTTATTGTTATCACGTCATATCGACGCAAACGTCGAAAATCAGCACTCGTTTTCTTTTTTATTTTTAATTTCGCATCACACACTTCTTTCAACACCTTATTATACTCTACTTCCGACAAATAAACAGAATTATTTTTTTTCCCTTCTATAATCTTTGTTGCA